AGTCGCGCAGCACGTCGTACGTGTCGGTGAGGGCGCGCTCGACGATCTTGGTGGAGCGCTCGACGAACTCGCCAAAGTCGTGCGCGGCGTACACGGCGGCGCGCTCGTCGTCGGTGAGCTCGTGCAGCTGCTGCGGCAGTTCGCGCTCCAGCCGCGCTTCTTCTTGGCGCGCTGCGAGCTCGGCGGCGTGCTCGGCGAGGATCTGCGCGCGGAGCGTCTGCTCGGTCTCGCGCGTGCGTGCCTCTGCGCCGACACCCCCCGACGGAGCGTGGTCGTCGTCGTCGTCCGAGTCGCCGAGCGTGGCGGTCTGCACTTCCTTGGTGTAGAAGACGCGTTGTCGTTGCGGTAGCTCGTACAGCTCCGTCTCGACGTCGATGAGCTCGGGCGCTGCGCGTGGCCCCACATCACCGAGCGCAGAAGCGGCGGGTGGGGCTGGGCCAACCCCGGGTGTGGAGGGTGGGATCTCGGACTCGCTGCCAAAGTCGGACGACGCCGGGTCGGCGGTGCTGGGCACGCGCGTTCCGAGGAGGCTGCGGCGCGGCGAGGGCGGATAGTCGATGCTCGAGGGCCCTACGAGCGAAGCGCGTGAGCCGCGTGAGGATGTGGGCGCCGAGATGAGCGAGTTGACCAGGTCGTCGAGGTCCTTTCGGGCTGACGTCGACGAAGACGCCTCCGGGAGCGCGGCCGAGGATGACTTGAGACGCTGCGCACGTTCCTCACGCTGCCGCCGGATCTCCTGGAGCTTGGCCTTCTTCGCCTCGATCTCGGCCTTGCGGCGTGCATCCGACGCGGAGGCGGAGCTGGACGACATTGTGGCGAGCGAGCGATAGAGGCAAGTGTTGGTGACGAGGCAAGTGGTGGGGGCGCGTTTGCATTGCGAGACCAACACCTTTCAGAAGGCCGTTGGGGCTGAGCTCCGACTCGGTCGCGCGCGTGTCGCTTTTGTGAGGCGATGCAATTTGTTGGGAATCGAGATTCGACATTGTTGGGGCGAAAAAAAAGCCTCGGAGGTGGAGGCGAGCCGAGCTGACTCCGCTTTCTGGCTTCTTCGACTGCTTCGCTCACTTGCGCCTTTGCTTCCTTCTCCCACCACCACCAGCATCCTCTCAGCGCCCGCCACGGCTGACCACAGACGGGATCCATGGCGAACGCAACGATCCGCGGTGCGGTCAGCATCCACGGCACCAATCCGCAGTTCCTCATCGAGAAGCCCGTGCGTGCACGCATCTACGAATCGCCCTTCTGGAAAGAGCACTGCTTTGCGCTCTCGGCTGCCACCCTCCTCCCGCTCGCCGTGGACCTGCACCACGTCGGCGGTCTCACCGGCCTGCAACGTCCGTCCCACTTCCTCTGCCTCCTCCAGAAGCTCCTCCAGATCCAGCCCGAACCAGCCATCGTAGACGCCTACCTCGTAGCCAAGGAGTTCAAGTACCTCCGCGTGCTCGCGGCGTTCTATGTGCGGCTCACGTTCGCGTCGAGCGAGATTTACGCGCGGCTCGAACCGATGCTGGAGGATTACAGCAAGCTGAGGTGGAGGGATGCAGGCGGGGCGTATAGCGTGGTGCATGTGGACGAGGTGGTGGATATGCTGCTGCGCGAGGAACGAGTGTGCGACATCATCCTGCCCAGGCTGACGCGCAGGGATGTGTGCGAGACCAGAGACGGGCTGGCGCCCAGGATCAGCAGGCTGGAGACCAAGCTCAGGAGTGCGGTGGAGGCGGGCCAGAGCGATGCGGACGCGAGCGATGACAGCGAGGCAGATGTCACGAGGTGGAAGCTCGAACGCGTCAAGAGAGCTGCGCGGCTTGCACACGCCAGAAAGCAGCATCGGCACGAAGGTGGGGATGCAGCAGAGGCCGAGTATACGTCGCAGGAGGAAGATGATGAGGCGACCAAGAGGAGGCGCTTCGTGTCGCCCTCGCCGAGCGTCTCGCCGGACCGCATCGCCGCACGCCAAGGCTACGTCTCGCGCTCACCCTCGCGCTCTCCGGATCGCATGCCCTCGCCCGCCCACTCCGAACGAGGCTACGTCTCGCGCTCGCCCTCTCGCTCACCAGACCGCATGCCCTCACCCGGCCGTTCGGAAGCAGGCTATATATCGCGCTCACCCTCTCGCTCGCCGGACCGACTTTGAGATGGCTCTGTAATTCTAGATCTCGACCCCTGTGTTCTTGGCTGCTAATCATCGTGTTTGTGGCTCTCGCTCTCTTCTTGGTTGAGCAGTTCGACGTGTTCCTCGTGTACCCTCCGTTTCCTCGGGCTTTTGTGCATCTCGGTTAGCGCGTTGCCGATGGTGAGACCCGAGACGGCGCTGAGAAGCAGGAACCAATCCATTCCCATGGCGACGATCATGAGCATGTACCGCAGCAGTGTGGCGGCAAAGTAGACTATCGCACCGAGCCAGATCGTCGTCTTGTGGGAGGAGGTGTATGTGAGGAAGCGTTCGGCGAGGGCGAGGATGAAGGTGACGAGCGCAGCGGCTAGAAATGTGGCGAGGCTGCGGATGCGAAAGGTGGGAAAGAGAAAGGGTTCGTCCAGCTCGCTGAACGAGGAGAAGAGCGAGGTGTGTAGGTAGGGCTTCCAAGAAGCCATACCGTCCGCCGAGGCGGAAGACATGTCCATGATAGCAAGGTGGTGGTGTAAAGTCAAACGCGTCTCCACAGGTGGAAGTGGGAAGTACGAAAGGTGGGGGGTTTAATGAAGTCCGGCTGGTGGGGAAGAGGGTCCGATCACAAACTGTACAGCTGAGCTGGCATCGTCGCGCTGGCACGCCCGTGTGCACACGTATGCAAGAGATGGTGGTGGTCCGAGCTCGAACCCTTGCGCACGCGCTCAAAAAAAAGGGTCCGATGAAAAAAAAAAAAAAAAAAA